AGCCAAACATGCTGCAAGGGTCACGGTACCACTGCGTAAGGGCTGTATACTATTCACAGCCAGTTTTTGTGCATCAATTGGAGGCACCGAATTTATCAAAAAAAAAAAAAATGGAGGCACCGCAACTCATCCCTATGCTATCTCAAAGCATGGAATGGAATCAGAGGGAATTGCATCTCGCCTTCCGGTGTTGCGACATCCATAATAAGTGGACCTACGATCGAGGAATTCGAAGCAGTACGGTTGCGATGGCAAATCTGAAGGGGAAAATTCTCAGGGTTGATGATGTAGCAAAAACTGCACTATATTTGGCTAGTGATGATGCAGGGTACATCGGTGAGCTCAACCTTGTAGTAAATGGAGGATACACTGTTGTGAATCCTACCATGATGAAGGCTATGGGCCTTCTTAAATGATTTGGAAAGTAGGTTATTTGGTCTTACGTACATTGCTTGTCCATGGGGATTTTATTTGTATCATTTTCAAGGTGCTCTCTTTCCACGTTTCGTATCCAAGTGATAAACTTTTAACATCCCAAGATCAGACATCATAGCTGTTTAATTAGGGGGAGAATTGTGTAAGCTTATAGCATGAAAATGGCCAACTCTACAAGTCGGATTCACTTAAGCAATTTATCAAACACTTAGAAAAGTAAAAATTTAAGGTATGAAAAGTAAGCAAAATACACAACAGGAGCAATTTTGCGTGAAAATTCTCTCGGGAAAAATCACGAAATCATGGTCTACGTTACTTAATCTATTAATCTCAGAGTTTAATTATAAGATTAAAGACTTGTATCTTAGAGTAATGCTATTAGGACTTAATTTATTGACTTATCTAATTCACAATGACCTTTGAATTGACTGTAGACTCCATTAAATATTGAAATTTAATGTTAATCCAATAGTTTCAATGAAGCCACGTCATTAGATCAGTAAATTATGTCAGATTTTTATGTCCAAATAATATTTTCCTATTTATTTTTTAACTTGTACGTTCAACATAAGTCGATAAGAAATGAGTGGAATTACCAAAATTATGGTACTTCTGTAATATTTATCAAGACATTCACATGCTAAGGTCAAAAAAAAAAATGCTAAGGTCACAAAAGAAAAATAAAATTTAATGGAGGCAGTCAATGAAGTATCGGTCTTTTACCTGATCACTAATCAGTTACAAACTATCAAATCAATGTGATGAATATTACTTAATCATTGTAATAGGTGTTGTATGATGTATTTATTATAATAATGGGATTTAACAAGTAAATTATGTAGGGTTTCAAATCTAATTGATGATTAATGTCCAGGTTCGCGAAAATGTTATTCGGTAAAAGTCGAGAATTTATATGCAATTAAATAATTTAGAATACTAATTATCTCAATAAAATAAATCCAATTCCCAAATTTTTGAAAATTTAATACATATTAAAATTTTAAAAATTAAAATTATCAATTAAGTCTCCAAATAAAAATAATCTCAGAATATGATCAAAATAATACACTTGACAATTAAACAAATTGTTCAACATGAATCAATTAAGACCTCAACAGTGTAAATTTCGTTGATGGTGACACATTAAATCTTATTATGTAATTAAGAGTAAAATAGTAACATACAATTGAGCCACAACCAAAACCATAAACTTGGAATATATATGCTCATCTAAATTTTTTTACCCAATTAATGTGGGATTGGAGTTATATCCAACATTACCCAATCTCAATTTTCACATTCCAAGAGAGCTACTTTGGAGTCTTTCGTGATTGATCACGAATAATCTCTATTAATTATGATCGATATGAAATGTTGTGATCGATAATAAGTAGCTATAATTTTTCTTTTGTAGTGACCCTTAAGAGTAGGGATGGTAGTGAATCAAAAAAAAATGTATATTTGTTTGAACATGTTCTATTTGAACTGGGAATGGACCATAAGTAGACGTATATAGAGATCTCCGTATAAATCCGTGCGAGAATGCAGGCAGGGCATTCCTGCCCTGCCCTGCTATATATATCACAAAACACAAATCATACCCGCCTCGCACCCACCCACTTATTAATACATATATATAATATCACAAATCTCACGCACCCACACACGCTTCTCTTTACTAAAAAATCTCTCTTTTTTTGATCAATTTGTTATGTAATGGTGTTCATCCTTTTTGCAGAACCATTTGTAAGTTTTTATGATTTTTTTAAAAAAATAATTTTTAAAATCATAGAAATTAATTGTTAGGGAGGGTGACAGTGGTAGGGATGAGAATAGGGATAAATTTTTCTCACTAATGGGTATAGACGAATATTTTTGAAACGGATACGGCAGTGGAGAGTACTCCCTTTACCCTAGTCCCAGTCCACTATTGCAGAGTAATATTTTTTGGTACAACAATAAAAAAAAAAAAAAAAAATTGGTATCACAGTCATTCCTCTATTGTATCTATATCACGACTAGACACTAGGATATTTTGGTCATTCCTCTATTGTATTTTGTCGATTCTAAATCCGTTTTCAAAAAATTTATTCTTTTAGTTTTGCAGTCTATAACCGAAGCTATTCAAAATCGAGATTCTGATATGAATAAATGAATTAAAATAAATTTTGGGTAATATATCTAAATTTTAACTCAATTTCAAGCAATAAAAAGTGGAATTCCTCACAAATTAGGATATTGACATATCCTAGTCTGAAGTAGTGAAGAATGATATAACAAATTTGGGTTTGAGTTTGAATTTTCTGAAGAAAAAAAAATTTATATCCAACTAAACAAATTGGATCAAACCAAGATAAAAATTCACTCGATCGACAATCCTAAATTCCTAATCGAAGCAGTTTTTTTTTTTTTTTGCATTTTTACTTTATAGTCTTACTGCAGGCAACTTTGAAATTGTGGTTATTATATGGGTCATTCAACAAATTATTATTAAAATAAATTTAGTAAGTGTATAGAACTTATTAAAATTAATTTTTGTATGATGCCAAAAACTCTACCAGGTTTATGTTTAAGCATCAGCCATGTTTAGGCTTTAGAGCTTTCTGCAACTGACATCTGTAACTTGATTCTTTATTAATGAGATTCAGACCGACATAATAGATATATAAATTAATATTTTTTGTTGCTAATTAATTCTTATTTATGTTTCTATCAAGGATTAAAATTTCATTTCGAAACGACCAAAACAGTCGAAATGTTTCCGTTTTCAAGGAGACCGAAACAAATCGGTAATAGAATTAAAATTATAATACTTCGAGGTGTTTCATAATGTTTCGATATATTTACACAATTGTTTCATAATGTTTCAAGATGCTTTGATATATTTCAACCAATATTTTTAAAAAAATAATTCTCAAATTTTTGTTCATTTCAATTTGTTTTTATGCCCTAAAGGACATACCTTCATTTATGACTCATGTCTTCCACTGGATTAGGGGATTGGAAACTTTTAAAAACCAATAATAAACATGAGAAAATTATACTTTGCACTTAAAACTTTGATCTCAACCTTATTTCACCTTCTTTATTATAGAGTTTCTCACATTATCTCCAACAACTTGGAAGGAGCTTCATCTTATCCTAAAATCAATTGTTATTTTTTGAACCAAAAATGTTTTGGGACAAAAAAAAAAACTGCCAAGTTCATAGCGTAACGTGACCCACATTTATTTTCGCTCTAATATATAGTCTATGTAGTTAGGACAATGTGAAATCAATAACAATAACTAGAAGTAGAGGTAAAACGTGAGAAAATGTAATTGTTGAGAAAAAAAAATGAGCCTTAAGCATAGTTAAAGGAGTCCAAGTATAATTTTGTAAGATGTAAGAGTATTTGCCAATAGAACTGATAATGAAACCAAATTTTGTGAGTTCGAACTGAACTTTCCGAATTCGTTTTTTTGAACGAGTTTAAAAAATTATTTAAGCTCGGTTTGTTTTCTAACGAGCCTACAATGACAGTCGAACCTAAGTTACTCGAATCGATTATCAACTCTATTTGCCAACAAATCAACATAAAAAGATTAAAATTAGAATGGCAATTAGTTGTCAAAGAATGATAGAATGGGAAATATTTTTTAGCAAAATATTTGTTAATTTGGCAAAACCCTACTTTTAGAACATGCTAATTCAGCATTGACATAGACAAACAAATCTACCCTTTTTAATGGAAGAATATCTACCTGGTTGTTCATAGACAACACCTCCCTAAATATGCCAAATCAGCCTTAACATTGAATGACTTCTACTTCTAATATAGCAGTCCCAGACTCTCAAATTAAGGACACGTAATATTATTGTTCAATAATGTTATTTAAATTTACTTTGTTGACTTAATTTAGCACAATTATTGGTTGGTTCAATCCAATAATTATGAATAATTAGATCAGTAAATTAGATTCAAGTAGCATTGCTCATTATTTGTTCTACACTACCAATAGTTAATAGGAATGTTCACTATATATTTTTAAACTTTTCCCCTAACTAGGGTGATTTCTAACTACCTCCCAATCTACCTTTGTCTGTATACAAGCGTGGTTTCAATCCATGCTTATCTGCCAAAAAAAACATGTTTGCAAGACACATTTGTAAACTAAATTTTTAAAATATATAAAAATTAGAACTGTGAGAAATATATATAAATTGCAACATTTTGAGAAATAAATTAGAAATCACAATTATGGTACCAAACAAATTGAATCGAGTTATAATTCATAAAAGAAATCAAACTGTGTACTTTTTTATAAAAAAAAAATGTTAAATTGGCTAAAAAACACAGCAATGAACAATAACGAACTGTATCTCTATATTTAGAGTTTGCCAATTTATCATTGACATAATACCCCTAAATATAGCTCAAAGACTATCTAATTGTTAATGCATAGAAAATACCTATCTCTATAATATCCAAATATAGCATTTTGGGTGGAAAGAGTATCTACTTGTTAGTGCATGAAATTCTCCCCAATATATGGGACAACCATTCATTTTTACAAAGCTGTAAAATGGTCTCATTTCATCAAAAAAAAATTCTTCCGTCTTCTCTTTCATCCAATTCTCTACTATGTCCACCCTTCCATTCCCTCCTTGTAGCTAGAAGGGTGCCATCAAAGAGGCCGGGTGGTTGCAGCCAGAGGAAGAGGATAGAGAAGTAGGCGCTGTGGAAGCGAAGGCTGAGGAGCAAGACAACGTTGTAATGGCTTCTTCAAACGGGACTTCATTAGATCAGCAATTAGAACAAATCATTCTTTGTTATGCAGAAACCATTTACAGGACAAATGGTGTTTGGGAAGGCCCAAACCCCTTGAGTCCTATTCTTCCTCTCTTCATCGTTCAGATAACTGTCGCTATTCTCGCCACTAGACTTCTCGTCCTCGTTCTAAAATATTTCAACCAACCTCCTTTTGTTGCCGAGATCCTAGTGAGTAGCAGGTTTTTGTGAGTTGTTCTCCATCTTCTTCTAAATTTTGACAATATAAACCAGGGCGGCCTAACCCAAATTTAGGGCTGGGCGAAAATATTATATGAGGTCCATGACAATATAATATAGATACGAAAAAATAATTATTCAAATATTAATATTATGTATTTAAAAATATTTTATTCTTTTTGAGATTCAAAAATACAAATTTTACTTTTGCATTCAAATTTTTGTATATAATTCCATTAGTTGCAGTTGAATTTGTAGACCAAAATATAATAAAGTCTGCTATCAGTTAAAAATAGAGAAAAAGAATTGAAAATTGTTAATATAGCAAAACAATTTTTCAAATGATGAATGTTAGTAGGATTTTAAATAGTAAGTTATTCTGACCCACCTTGTTTTTTAAATAACATACGAAAAATGCCTCAAATTTAAGTTAAGACTTAGTTGCTTGCTTCTTGGTTCTTGCAAATGAAACCCCTCAACTATTTATAGGTCTTTTATCTTATCATTATTGACTATGATATTGTCAAATATTATACATTTATGGTGTCTTTAGAATCTTCTGTGCAAATATCTCGTCTTTTTATTCTTTGTATATTCGAGAATGTTCCTTGAAGAAAGGTTAAATAAGAAACTCTTTATAGGATCTTCTAGAATATTTCTTCAACGGATCTTTAAATCAAAGAACTCATCCTAAGGTTCTTTTGAATTTTCAACAAGATGGAACGTTACAAAGTCTCACTTAACATCAGGTATTGTGTGTTGAGATAACTCACATTTTCAATATTTACATAAATAATAGGTAAGATTGAAAAAACAAAGGTAATCAAAATCATTCATTCAGTTGTGTTGAGAATTCTCCTCCTCGGTCATTCACTCGTTTTATTTATAATCTTGTATAGTCGAATTTGTATTTTATATATCTCGTGTTTACCATATTTGTTTTGTGTTTAGTCGGATTTATATTGATTCGTTTATTTGAGAGACCTATCAAATTTATTTGTTTATCAACCTTATCTACCAAGGCTAAACTCAAGCTCATTACTTTTGTATTGATTTTTTTATTGAGTTTGCAATTCATACCTAAATTTGTCTTAAAATTAGAGGCTCTAAATTTTTTTTAAGTGATTCTAAATTTTTTTTTAAGCCTCAAATATATGTATTAAATTGGAGACCCTAGGTGGCAGCCTTAATGACCTATGCCTAGGGCTGACACTGATCTAAACTAGGGTTGGTTATGGATCTCATGTCGTGTAACTGTCGAAATATTTAAACTATTCCCAACTCATTTGTAATCACGCATAATGTAATTTCTATCATGTCTAGTTCATAGAATGTAATAGTTTCATTTTGCTTATAAACGGGTTTGTGTTGACCTATATTAAATTGGCTGACCAACCAATCCAATTTTGGACTATTCGTGTTAAGAATAATCAACCCTAATATAAACCCTAAACAAAAAGACCAAAAGGAATTTCATTCAAGATGCAGCACACATATACAGACCAAATACATACCAATAGCCGAGTATGTGATAAGTTATAGTGATTGAAGAGTAATGTTGTTAGAACTTAAAAAGATGTAATGATATGGCAGTGGTTGACATTCCCGTCTTTATTTCGTACGTACACTGCATGAACCATAATAAACTCCATTGCTAATCCATGAAACATTATTTTCACTGTAGAGTGGGATTCTATTGGGTCCATCCCTAATGGGAAGAATCAATGTCTTCAGTAAGACAATCTTCCCCAACTATTACTTTGCTGTGTTGGAACCAATGGCACACTTGGCTCTGGTTTTCTATGCCTTCCTCATGGGACTAGAGATGGACATCCGATCAATTTCGCGCACCGGAACCAAGGCTTGGAGCATCGCCGCTGCTGGAGCAGTCATCCCTTTCGTCTTCGGTGCAGGCCTATTCTTCATGTTCCAAACCCCGGACAAAATGGGTTCCTTTTTCTGGGGCATTGCCCTTACTGTCACCGGGTTCACTGTGCTCGCCCGAATCCTCGAAAAGCAAAAGATCCTCCACACCGAGATTGGCAAGACGGCCTTGTCGGTTGCCTTGGTCAACGACTTCGGTTCCTGGATTTTCCTGGCACTAGCACTGGCACTCTCTAGTGGCGCATCGACATTTCACTGGGCATTGGTTTGCACCATTGCGTTTGTGATGTTCTGTGTGTACTACGTCCGTGCAGGCCTCAAATGGGTAATTCGTCACACACCCGAAGGGCAAGGCTACAGTGAGTTCTATATATGCTTTATACTCTCCGGGGTTATGCTCTGTGGTGCTCTCACCGATGCTTGCGGCACACATCCGATGATCGGAGCTTTCGTGTTCGGACTTTCCATACCTAATGAAATGCTTCAAGCTACACTTGTTGATAAGCTTGAGGACTTTGTGTTAGGGTTCTTCATGCCAATTTTCTTTGCGGTTTGTGGGGTGAGGACCAATCTTGATCATATCAGCGACAATACTTCCTGGGCGTTGGTGATGGTGGTGGTAGTTTTGGCTTGTTCAGCTAAAGTTTTGGGCACTCTCTTCGCGTCTTTCTTCTATAACATCCCACCTCGGGAGGCAGTAGCAGTTGGTGTGCTTTCAAACACCAAAAGTGTCATGGTGATGGTCATTCTTGAAGTTGGACAGCAGCAAGGGGTACCTCTCTCTCTCTCTCTCTCTCATACACACGCACATAGATATCTATGAACTTTTTGGGGCACCAGCACAAGCAAAATATGGTGGAAAAGTCTACTATTTAAAAGAGAGTAAAACAACCCAAACTCCCAAGAGTTAATCCAAAATCAGCTACTCAATTGATAGACATGAATTTTATAACTGCTTTATCACACACACACGCACACACTATTTCATTGTAATCATCCAAAAACTTAAATGAAAGTTGTCATTTCATCAGCCATTCTATCCATTTTTTCATTTCTGATGGATTCATGCATGATTTAATGTTGTACCACAGTTCTAGAGGAAAATGGCTAGTGTTGGTTTGTGTTGCAGTCTAGTTTTTGGGACAATGTTTTTGTGATCAGCAATCTATCCATCCTTTAACCTAATGCATGCTTTATACTGATGATGATGCAATTCATGTTCATGTTATCCAGGCCTTGACCACGCAAACTTACACGATAATGGTGGTTGCCGTCCTGGTGATGACGATGATTGTTACACCCCTCACGATGATACAGCAACCATCACAAAGTTTCATCCCCTATAGGCGAAAGACCATACAGAACTCGAGATCTGAGGATGAGCTCCGAATCCTTGCATGTATCCATGGAACACGCAACATTCCGGCCATCATCAACCTTCTTGAAGCTTCAAATGCCACCCAACGATCCCCCATCAGCGTCTTTGCTCTCCAACTTGTTGAACTAGTTGGCCGTGCCTCTGCCATGCTTGTTGTACACAACTCACGTAAAGCTGGACCGAGAAACCCGAGCCATGTAGAGGCACAAACGGAACAACTCATCAGTGCCTTCGACAACTTCGAGCTCCGGTGTGAAGGAATCACCACTCAGGCACTCACTGCTAAGTCTTCTTACTCCTCAATGGACGAAGACATCTGCAATATTGCAAAGGATAAGCGTGCAGCGTTCATAATCCTCCCTTTCCATAAACAACACACCCTAAATGGTGACATGGAAGACATCAACCCTGCTATTAAGAGTGTTAATGAAAATGTGTTAGCAAATGCACCTTGCTCAGTAGGTATACTCATCGACCGTGGCCTTGCTGAGACCGACAACTTCGCACGTCGTGTCACCATGCTGTACTTTGGTGGGCCTGACGACAGGGAGGCATTATCTTATGCATGGAGAATGGCTGAACATCAAGACATCAGCCTAACAGTGGTCCGGTTTCTTCCTGGCAAAGATGTAGTGGAGCATATGGATTACCTGGGGCAAGGCCATGGGACTGTTGCTCTAAATATCGACACCGATAGAGAGAAGATGTTGGATAATGAGTTCCTGAACAAGTTTAAGATCTCAACAGTGAATGACAAAGCAATATCATATACAGAGTTGGAGCTAAATGATGAGGAAGAAACAATCAAGGCAATAAAATCAATGGACAATGCTAACTACGATCTTTACATAGTTGGAAAAGGGAGAGGAGTGCTATCACCACTTACAGCAGGGCTAGCTGACTGGTGCGACTGCCCAGAGCTGGGGCCTATAGGGGATCTGTTGGTTACATCGGAATTTTTATCTGCATTTTCAGTGCTGGTGGTGCAGCAGTATATAAGGACGACAGAAAGTAGAGATGGATCAGTGTCCAGTGGCTCAGTTAATCAAATGGACAATTTTGGGCGACCATCTGTGTCGGAGAATGATGGTTTCGGATCGTTTACCAGTCATAGAGGGAGGGACCATGATCACTAAAGGAGGTTGGATGGTTAGGGTTTTAAGCCAACTCAAGTCTAACATTTGCATGCCCCTTTGGCTACAACATTTTAAACAAAAATTTTCTTTCACCTTTAAGGGAACTATTTGCTTGCTTTTCCATATTATTATTGTTGAAAGGTTGTCAAGATATTTAATTCCATCCAAATTTGAACTCCGATTGCAAAAATTGACATCTTGTTCTATCAATCTCTGCCCACTGCTAGATAATGCAATTCTGAAGTACTTAAGATAATCTCTTAAAAACAAGAAATCAATAGCTGAAATTTATTTTTGAGCACAACACATCATTAGGCATTTTGTCTTTTGTCATTTTATATAATAATTTGGACAATTACAATAGGTGATAACAACTTACATGACAGAAAGTGGTGTTTCGTTCAACATGTTAATTGTCATTTTCTTTTCCCACAAGAAACATGAGCTACCAACTAGTCAACTACATAATTAGATGAAGTAAGAATTTAACTTCACAGAATTAAAAAAAATAGAATTTAATTTTAGTACTCTAGCCGTTACTCTAATACTATTATACTTCTTATGTACAACAAATGGTCAGGACAAGAGACACATATTTACTATGTGTCTGGTGAGACTCAACCTCATGTCGTAAGTGAAGATAACTCTTTAACTACATGAACCAACCCACTCGTAAGTGAGGAGAAACAACTCTAACTTTCGTTAGTTAGTGCCTTAAAAAACTGCCGATTTTCTATCGCATTTTGTGTCAACTCAAGAATGAATGCTTACAATTGTTTCGGTAGTTGAAAAGATTTTAAGAAGAAAATTGTGAAGCACCACCCACCCTCTAACGCAACCCATAATTGATTTTTTCTCCAACAATCTTTCTAAAACTTCAAATTAATCCCAAAACATTTCTTGGTGACTTCAACTTTGCCTCTATGTTCATACATAACTACTCGTTTATCCTAACTCTGATAATATACTCCACAAAATTTCTGTGGTAATTTAGGTCAAAGGATTACAAAATTTGGACATTGAAGGCCAAAACATAACAATGGGGAGTATACATCCAAGAAAATTGTGCAGGAGATTCCAACCAAGTATGATAATCCAAATAGATTGGACAAGATTTATCCACAACCTAATACACTACATGTTAATCTTCTTAAGTGTGTTCACATAAGTGTAACTGGAAAACAATACAAACAGCTTCCGGAACCTGCACCATGGAATCCAACATCACTTAAAAGAAACAGAAAATTTTGTGAAACTGGTGAGTAGTGTTAGAGTATTCATAATAAGGGTAGTTTAGGCATTTTCTTTATGTTGTGTTGCCCTACTATATAAGGGTTACTTTGTGTATTTCTAGGTTAAGTTGTGTATTATAGACTTCCTAAATGAAGAATCTATTCTTCCTTTCTCTTCTCTATTCTCATTGATCAATTCTAACATAGTATCAGAGCTCTTTAAACCCAAATAATAATTTATGATTGAAGACTAGAAGATAACCTGGTGAACCAGCCGTGAACTGACCTAGTGAACCCGACGTGAACCGATGATGAACAGTATTGATGTCATTAGTCTCCAACTGTGAATACAACTAGTAGGATCGAATCTTCATGGGTTTCGATGGCTGTTCTCCTCCCCACAGTGCACCGAAAGTCTGTCTTTTGGGTTTCGGTGAGTCTTCTGGGTTTCAGTGAGTGCTCTCCTCCCCACAATGCATCGACTGTCTCCTCCATGCACTAATTGCCTCACAGTGCACCGACTGCCCTCCCTTTGGTCTATTTTGTGATTGTTGTGTGTCAGCTGGGTGTTTTATGCTGTTAATGTGCATCGGTGAACTGTTCTTTGCATTCACAGTGCATCGATTGGTTTGTGATTGATACTCTCTGGTTATTTATTAATTTAATTTGTTTGATTGTGGTTGGGTTGTTGGATTGTTGCTATTATTGCTGTTTTCTTGTTTTGGCTTTGGCATTCTGGACTGTTTCTTGTTGTGGCTACAGCAGTCTGATAATTTGGCTTATTTGGTTTATTATTGCTGGGTTTTTTGTTCTGCTGGGTTTTTTGCTTATTTGGTGGTATTGCTTCTTCAGGCTGTTGAGTTTGAATTTGACTATGGTACGTATTGATAATTGTTACTATAATGGCAAGTGGTCACTCTGATTCACTTCAAGCCATTAGTGTGAGACTAATTAGTGAAAATTATGTTTATTGGACTTATGTTATGAAAAAAAATTTGTTGGAAAAAGACATGTGAAATTACATTAGTGGTGTTGTACAGCCTCCAACTGATACTAAGACAGAAAATTATGCTGATTTGAAGAGTACTTGAGATATCAATAATGCGAAAATTATCACTTGGATTAATAACTCAGTTGATCAAACCATTGGGGTTCATCTATCCAAGTTTACCACTGCTATGGAGATTTGGGATTATTTGGCCACACTTTTGGTTCAGTCTAATTTTGCAAAGAGGTATCAGCTAGAGAATGAGATTCGAGATGCGCGACAAGGGGACAAAACCATCCAAGAATTCTACTCTGTTATGACTAGCTTCTGGGATCAATTATCACTTACTGAACCCACTGAGTTGAGCACTAATTTGGTATATCGCACCTTCAAAGAGGAACAAAGGTTGGTGCAATTCTTGATGGCCCTTAGGGATGACTTCGAGAGACTTCGTGGTTCCATTCTTCATCGCCATCCACTCCCCTCAGTGAATGTAGTTGTTAATGAGCTCTTAGCTGAAGAGGTTTGCCTTAAAACCCTTTCTGGAAAAGGGTCTTCTTCCACTACCAAATCAAATTGTCTTGGCTGTTCCTTCCAAAGTGGTCTCTAATTCCCAAAACAAATATCGAGGTCGAGTTGCATCTGATGAGTGTAGCTTCTGTCGTGAAAAGGGTCATTGGAAGGCCCAATATCCAAAGTTGATGAACAAGAATGCACAAGGATCTCAAAATCAGTCATTTAGGTCCAGAGATCGTCATACAGCGGCCGTAGCACCACCAGTGGATGAGTCAACTTCATCAGCTCCCAACCTGAGTATGCTTGCAGATTAGCTACAGAAGTTTCTTTCTCTTCATCAGCCTGGTGCTCTCACAGTTTCTCCCACTATAGGTTCGTTCAGCTCAGGTCCTTCAGGTATTTCTCAAACTGCCTGGGTCTTTGACTCAGGTGCAACACATCATATGACCAGTGACTCCTCTTTGTTTGCATCTATTGTTTCTCCGCCCTCTTTATCTGTCCTTGCTGCCAATGGTTCTCACATGTCATTAGTTGGTGTTGAGACAATTATTTCTTTCAACATTACACTTTTCGATGTCTATTATATTCCTCAACTTACTTTGAATTTACTTTCAGTCAGTCAACTATTTGATTCTGGACTTTTGGTTCATTTCTCTTCCTCTGGTTGTGTTGTGTAGAATCCACGATCCAAGAAACTGATTGGGACTGGTCGTAGACAGGACGGGTTATATGTATTGGAGGAGCTGCATGTCTCAGTTGCTGATGTTGTTGCTTCTGCTGTTGATTTATCTTCTTTTCATTTGAGTCCAGATTCATCTAGTTTTTATTTATGGCATTCTCGTCTTGGTCATGTTTCTTATTCTCGTTTAAAATTTTTAGCTTCGACTGAGAGTTTGGGTAGTTTAGAAAGCCATTACATTTCTGATTGTAGTGGATGTAAGTTGGCTAAATTTAGTGCATTGTCATTTAATGAAAAGGTTACTTTTTCTATTGTATCATTTGATCTTGTTCACTCTGATATATGAGGACCAGCTCCTATTCCTACATAAGGAGGGTCCAAATATTATATTTTATTTATTGATAATTACACGCGGTACTATTGGGTATTCTTGATGAAACATCAGTCTGAATTCTTTTCTATCTTCATTACCTTTCGTAACATGGTACGCACTCAATATTCTGCAGTCATTAAATGTTTTCGATGTGATAAGGGCGGTGAATATACTTTTACTTCTTTTCATGATCTGTTGAAATCTAATAGTACACTTTATCAATCTTCTTGCACTAACACACTTGAGCAGAATGGTGTTGCCGAACAAAAACACCGTCATATTCTAGAGACAGCATGTTCCTTTCTTTTATCAGCACATATTCCCAGCTCATTTTGGGGGGAAGCAGTTTTGACAGCAGTTTATTTGATCAACACCATTCCTACTATGCTCACCTCTGGAGTCTCTCTATTTGAAAAGTTATGTGGTAAGCCACCTAACTATTTTTCTTTACGTGTGTTTGGTTGTACCTGTTTTGTTTTACTCCCTAGTGTTCTTCGTACCAAACTTTCTGCCCGTTCAACTTTGTATATTTCTTGGTTATGGTGAGGGTCAAAAAGGGTATCGTTGCTATGATCCCATCACCCGCAAACTTTATGTCTCTCGTTATGTTGTTTTTATGGAGCATACTCCCTTCTTCTCAATTCCATCTAGCTCTTCCTCATTGAATAAGTCTGACCTGCTATACATTGATCCCTTTCCTACCAATGTTCCTCATGATACATATGTTGGTGATATACCTGTGTCAGATCCTTCATCTTCTGAGTCAACTATTACTCGTCCCCCTATTGTGCATACATATGTTCGCAGGACTCCAGTTATCTCCTCTCCGGATGCAGTGCCTCCCCTTTCTTCTCCGGCCGCCCAATCATGTTCAGACACCGTGGATCATACCCCATGCTATCCTCAGTGCTCTCGCAAATGTCCAGACTGGTTTGATTGGAGTAATACTTGTTATTCTTCTGACTTTTTCTCTTTCTTTACTTCTATTCATTCTCTATCTGAACCCTCCTCCTACAAGGAGGCATTACTTGATCTACTTTGGAAACAGGCTATAGATGAGGAGTTGTCTGCCTTACATAAGACTAGAGCCTGGGAGCTAGTGTCCTTACCGCCTGGTAAACGCACCATTGGTTATAAGTGAATTTATAAGATAAAAACCAAATTAGATTATTCAGTGAAACGATATAAAGCTCGATTAGTAGCCAAGGGGTTTGCTCAAGAATATGGTCTAGATTATGATGAGACTTTTACTCCTGTTGCCAAGATGACTACTGTTCGCACCAT